ATTTATTAATTATTTCATTCAGCAAATGGGATTCAGGACCTACCATGTCCAGGTACTGTTGTGGGCAATACGGATATGAAGTGAAGCAAACAGTCAAAGCTCTCCCATGTTGTACAGTAAATTAATGACAAAAAAGAATATGATGTATAGGAGTAGTGTACATGAATGAAACATAATGTAAATAAAAACTATATAAAACAACGCACATGAAACACAATGTACATAAAAACTGTACAAAACATAATGTACATAAATTAAATACAATGTATATGAATTATTGTATGCAAACCAGTTAAAAATGTTAAAAAAGTCAGACTCAAGAAGTTGTGGCACTAAAGACATTACAATCAATGTCAGATGGATCTTGGCAGAAAGCAAAGAGTACCAGAGGAATGCCTATCTGTGTTTCATTGATTACGCAAAGGAATTTAATTGTGTGGATCGCAACAAATTTTGGCTAACCTTGAGGAAAATTGGAATCCCAGAACACTTGACTGTGCTCATGAGAAACCTACACTTGGACCAGAAAGCAGTTCTCAGAAGAGAGGAGGGAAACACTGCATGATTCAAAATCATGGAAAGGAGGAGTGCATCAGGGATGCATCCTGTCTCCATACCTTTAGAATTTATATGCAGAACATATCATTTGGGAAGCAGGGCTTTATGAGGTGGAATGTGGCATCAGGATTGGAGGGAGACTCATTAACAACCTACAATATGCAGATGACACAACCTTGTTTGCTGAAACTGAAGAGGATCTGAAGCACTTACTGCGGAAGGTCAAGGACTGTAGTCTTCAACATGGATTGAAGCTCAACATCAAGAAGACAAAGATTATCACCACTGGGCCAACTGAGATGGTGAAGAGATTGAGGTTGTTAACAATTACAGCTTGCTTGAATCCAGTCAACACTCTTAACACTAGCAGTCAGGAAATCAAGAGATGAATTGCATTGCGACAATCTGCTGTGATGGACCTCTCCAGAGTGCTGAAAAGCAACGATGTCAGTCTAGAGACTAAGTTGTACCTAATCCAGGCCATGGTCTTCGCAATTACTAGCTATGCATCAGAGAGCTTGACAATAACTAAGGATGACAGAAGAATCGATGACTTTGAATTGTGGTGCTGGACTAGAGTCTTGAACATACCATGGACTGTCAAAAAAGCAAATAGGTCTGTCTTGGAAAGGGTGAAACCAAGTTTCCCTCTGGAGGCTAGGATTTTGAAACTCCACTTCACTATACTTTGGGCACATGGCCAGGAGAAATTGGTCCTTGGAGAAGGACTATGCTTAGAAGAGTGGAGGGACCGCACAGGAGAGGAAGACCCCGGATCAGATGGACTGATACAATAACTGGGCTAATGGAGTCTGTATGTTGGAGTAAGTGAGACTGGTTCAGGATAGGCCAGGGTTCAGAGCTGCTGTACACTGGGTTGCTAGGAGTCATAGGCGACTCAATGGCACATAACAAAAACAACAACATGCCCTCAGAGAACTCACAATTTAGTTGGAAAAGACAGATTACACACAGATAAACTAAATAGCAGGTCACACACTATCCTGTAATTGTTAGTGTTCTGGGAAGTAAACTCCTAGCAGGGCAGAAAGAGAGACAGTGGTCACTGTTTCACACAGGGAGATGACAGGATGACAGCAGGCTTCTCTGGGAGGTGACATCTGAGCAGAAGTCTAAAGGAAGGGAAGAGGGAAGCAGCAGTCACACACAAAGACCATAAACAAAACAGAGTGAGGTAGAGGAGAGACTCACATAAAGGCCAGTAAATGCCAAAGGACTTAAGAGACTTAACATTTGATCTCTAAGGATCAGTTTCCTTTCAGACAAAGGTAATATCAATAACCACACAAACAGGGCACAGGCAATGGGAATCTACTCCCAAACTATCTGAGGAAAATACCCTTTAGATTTTTTTTTTAATCCACTGCATTTAGATAACAAAAATAACTAAACAGTGACTAAAGTCATCCTGGAAACTGAAAAGTGTAGCCATAGATGGGCAATCTCCTGTGTGATTTACAGCCTCTGAAAACTTGCTGTAGGGTCAGCAATGAATTGAGTATAAATCACTCACGGATAAACTTTAATGCTCAGAAAAGCAGTGGTATCCAATCACATGGAGATATATATTTACAAACATGTTGTTTTGTATCTTCAAGTTGCTTGTGACTCATAGCAACCCTATGTTCAACAGCTCTGAAGCCTGCTTTATTCTGAACCAACCTATCTATCTAAAATTAAACAAAACATTACACAACAAAACAATGATTTAAATTAGGTATTCCTGAAAGTCTTAAAGGATCATCTTAAATTCTCATAGGGTATTTCTTCCATTTACAGTTTAAAAAGCTAATGCTATAAAAAGTAGTTAACACTATGTAAATGACAAGTACTCTAGCATTTAAATTTACAGCAAGTGATGTCTTGTATAGGCACAGTATTTTGTACTAGTTACTAAAAGAATAATATATAATCAAAGGAATAATTTTTTAAATCTGAAGGGTCACTATGAGTCACAGGCAACTCAACGGCACATAACAACAAGTACTACTAAAAGTTTTAAAATAAAATATGGATAAAATGAGAAACTGGAAATAAAAAACTATAAGCATTAAGCACCAAACAGCAGAATGACAGCCAATGACCAAATGCAAGTATATTGAACAAAAATGTGACTATATAACTTAGACATAGTAGCTTGCTTTGGTAAAATTTTGCCAGTTCTAAATATCATATCAATAGTATTTTTTTCAGTTGTCCATTATGACATACAGACAAAGATTATTTTTTTTTACATTTTCTTGCTAACGCCATCAAAATAATATTCCCAATCCCTACAGTAAGATTAATGTACCATAAGGACTTGCTAATTGTGACCTACTCTGTCAGTCTGAATTAATAGCACAGTATTACATTTGAGTATTTTCTAAATCACTAACAAGTAGTATTACTCTAGATGTCTGAAGAGTTCAGAAGATCTTCTACTGTGTTTCCCACTATGCTAGCTTGGATCTCAAATTGTTCCACCCCACCAAAAATATAACTGTACCTTGGAAGTAAGGGGGTAGGATGAATGATTTCAGCATATTCAGCACAAATATTTGGGAACATTCCCCTGGATATCTAAATTCCAAGTCACTATAATTATCTTCTGTTAAGAATGCTAGTTACTCTGCTGTCTGTGTGCCTTTCCAGGAGAAATTTGGAAAGCAGGTTGTAGAGAAATTAGAATCTTCTGCAACACTGAAATATGTTTTAGGTTAGGTTAGTTAAGACTTCTGATGAATCCCAGTGTGGACATTTTTTACTGTATGTTCAGACAGCTAAATTGTAGGCCCACTGAAAATTATGTGTCATAATAGAAATAAATACATGTTTTTGATCCAGTCAGATCTGAGGCTGACTCTTGGCTCTGTCTCTTAGTACAGTGTGGTGGTGGGCAAGTTATCTAGTCTTTCTGAAACGACATTTCTTCAGATCCATAGTAATACAAATCATAAAGCAACAGGAAATCTTAGAAGTAATGTAGTGAAGGCATCTGGCACAGGGACAGAAATACAGGCTCCCAATAAATGTCAGTAAGAATTGTCAGAACTAATTATGGTACATTCACACCATGGAATACTATGCAGCACCCAGAAGCAATAACTTTGTAAATTACCTAATTTAGGAGGGACTGGAGAGCATTATGCTGAGTGAACTAACTCAGTCCCACAAGGATAAATATTGTATAAGACCATTATTGTAGAAGGAGTGTAAGGATCCAGGAGGGGTGGGAGAGGCTGGAAGCAGAGGGATGTGGATGTACACAGGGCAGAGGGGATTAATCATTGGGTTGTACAATTTGATGGGTTGGGGGATAAGGGAAATTGAAAGAATTTGTTCAAATTTGTATTCGAATTTTGTAAATAAACCAGTGGGGGGAAAAATAATTGTCAGAACTACTTCGCCAAAGAAGACATTCAGATGACAAACATACACATGAAGAAATGTTCAAAATTCCTAGCTCTATGAGAGATATAAATCAAAACAACTGAGATATCATCTCATCCCAGTAAGAACAGAAAAATTTAACAGAACAGCAAGCAACAAATGCTGGCAAGGTTGTGGAGAAACTGGAACCATTATTCACTGTTGGTTGGGAGTGTAAAATGGTGCAACCATTATGGAAGGCAGTATGGCACTTTCTCAAAAAGTTGTGAATAGAAATACCATTTGACCCAGCAATTCCGTTACTGGGAATATACCTCAAAGAAACCGTAACTGTCATCCAAGCAGATATATGCACACCCATGTTTATCATGGCTTTGTTCACAATAGCAAAGTGTAGGAAACAACCTAAGTGCCCATCAACAAACAATGAACAGAGAAGCTGTGGTATATTCACACAATGGAATACTATGCTGCATTGAAAAACAAGGAACTCATGAAATATTATACAAAATGGATGACCCTGGAGGACATTATGCTGAGTGAAATATCTCAGTCACCAAAGGACAAATACTGCACAGTGCCACTATTGTAAAACAGGACTGACATCAGAGCTGGGGGGAGACTGAGAAAGATGGAATAAATTATTGCATTGCACTGCAACAGATGAGGGAGAGAACTGTTTAAAAGAGATATAATTAGGTATTACTGTCATGACAGGAGTCCAGAATGAAGGCTACATAATGGAGTGGACTTGAGGAGAGGGATTGTTTAACAATGAAAGAATTCTTTTGTTTTTCAGAGAGAAATGCAAACTTGAGGTGGGGGGAGGTTGACAGGGAGAAAAGTGCAACAATGAATGAATGGAAATCCAAGGTCTCTGTAAACTTTCATTAAAATTAATAATAATTAAAATACCACAAAGAATTGTCAGAACTACACAACAAAATTCAGTGTATTCAAGCAATAAGAGATTATATTTCTATCAATTTAAAGGTTCTTTAAAAGAGTTACAGTTAAAGTACTTTTATTATAGCAGTTTATGTTATTACCATCAAGCTCACAAAAGTGATCCTGTGAGTCATCATATCTTGCCCAGTCAATGAAAGCTTCTTTGCTTTGATTACTATGGGGAGGAGGAACAAAAGAGAAAAATTATTAAATCTAGAGATGAAAAATTTAAACACTGTGGTGTAATTTTAAAAACATAATCTGACATAATGTATTAATCAGAAAGAGTTAAAAATTCATTTATTAGTGGTTATATGAAGTGAAATGTAAAACAGACATATAAAAATCTATTAATAACTTCTATTTCCTAGCTATATTAAAATAACTAGCCCTAATTTATTATGTACTTTGATTAAAAAATTAACTACAAATATAAATAACGTGAAAATAACAATCAACTTACTAATTAATGTTTTGAATGGGATTAGGCATTGTAAATTTGTCCTGGATATGGGACCTAAATTTACTTTCTAAATTCATTTGATCAAATTGCTTCTGTACTTAATCAGCAATTGAATTTCTATAGTCTCTCATCCCATGTAGCATTTATCGGTTACACTGAAGTCACTGTGACCAGGGTGCAAAATGTATTTTACATACTGATTAATTTACATTTAACAAAATCTATATCTAAAATTTCTAACGTGGAGAGGGAACAACTACATTCATTCAAATAACCTGGCTATTAACCCAAAGATCGGCCCAACATGTTTAGAAGGATTCTTAGAAGTAGAACAGAGAGGCAGAAGGGGAAGAAGTGTGTGAAGAACTTGACTGCCATTGCTGGCTTTGAAGATGGAAGACAGGATGTGTAAGCCAAGAAATGTGATAAGTCTCTAGAAGCTGGAAAAGGTGAGAGAACAGATTTTGCCACCAACACTCTGGAAGGACACTGCCCTACTTAATACTTTGACTACATGTAGCCCTGTACAGTCTGTGGTGGACATTAGGCCTGTGGAACTGCAAGACAATAAATGTGTGTTGTTTTAAGTCAACAGTGGTAGAATCCATAACAACAGCTACCGGAAATCAACAATTACAGAGAGGCTTCCTAAAATTATCAGCAAACCAGTCAGAGTACAATCTTTTCTAAATCACTAACAAGTAGTACTACTCTAGACGTCTGAAGAGTTCAGAAGACTGCTTCCAACTTTACCTGCTTGAACCTCAAATTGCTCCACCTCACCAAAAATAGAACCATACCTTGTGAAGTTAAACTACAAGGGGGCTCAGATGGAATGATTTTAGCATATTCAGCAAACCAGTCACCATCCAGTAACTTCTGACCTGTGGACGACCCCACAGTCCATGTAGAGACGTGGCTTCTGACCTGTGAAGACTTCACGTGTGTCAGGGTAGAAACATGCTCTGTGGGGCTTCAGAGGCAGACTGCCAGGGCCTTTTTTCCAAGGCACCTTTAGGTGAACCTGAACCAATCACCTTTCCATTAGCAATCAAGGTCCATTAGTAACAAACATTTAGGGATGCATGGAAATGGATAAAATGGCAGCAACTTCTACTACCTATTTACTATAAATATTAGCTTCCTAATGCAGTACAAAAACACTAGGCTCTGGCAACAAGCTGGGAAGAAGGTAGAGGGGGAAATGTTTATTGGTTTCTAAGGAGGGTAAGATCTTTGTCATGTTTAAGAGAAGAGTAGAAATACCAAAACCTGAGATTTCATCATCTGCAAAGTGAAAAACTGTATATAATACAAAAGAATTTAAAATGTGAAAGAAGAGAATGAAAATCTCAAAAAGGTGTGAAATACTGGGGGGAAGAGGGAGGTGGGCAGTGAGAAAGTGAGGAAATAGGGAAACTGTTATTTATCCATCAGAAAGATGTGATGAAGCAGCACAGACTCCACCTCAGAACAAGCAAGATAAGGTTTATTCTATTCTCTCAAGTAACCAAAATTGGGTACAATATAGGAACAATGGTTTAGAGAGCCGAGGATAGTGGTCCCTGAGATGGGACAGTGATACAGCCAGTCCTAGGGTTGCCCCAGCCAACTGCCCTGGGCGATGACAGGAAGGATAGTGAGCTGGGCAGAGGGATGGTCTCTCTGTGTCGTGAAGACAGAGTGGGAAGTCCAGGGAAGTCCTAAGAGGCTCAAGTTCCAAGAGCAGTGTACCAGAGAGAAGAGGGCTTCACAAAGAAGGAGACCTGAAGAGGGTGGACCAGCTGATGCATGTTGAAAAGGCTACTACCAAAAGCTGAAAACAGATCTCGAAAAGGCAGAGAAGGAACTCAGTTGAGCACAAGCATGCCTGTAGGGTCAGGATCAGGAGCACAGCCTGTTCTCATCATGGGCACTGGAGAGAGCACACAACTTTGCCTCGATACTCCAACATAATTAACCTCATATGGAGCAGGCTCCAGTCCCACCTAAACATGCTGAAAAGGAAGATGGAAGATCTGTTCCCAAGTACCTTAACTGCATCTCAGAGGAAAGATTCAGAATATTTAGAGGGAATACAAGAATACTAGCACTAGAAAAGGTAAGGTCCTTAATAACTGATGTCAATCAAACCAGGCATGCAAAAATGCAGGGAAGTAAGAATCCATCATCAAGACACAACAACAAAAATCACCTGAAACTGGCCCAGAGCAAACATGGGTGTTAGAATTAGTACAGAAAGAACATTAAGATTTGTGTGTGGACAGTAGCACAAATGTGGCCCAAATGATGAAGAAACCAAGCCAAACCAAAAGGAAAAAAAATGTGAAAAATAACTCATTGTCATTAAGTGAGAGCTAACTCATAGTTGACTCTCCAGGGAGGTTCCAAGGAGTAAACAGGGAAGAGGTTGTGAGGTTGGCCAGGTTGGCCACCTTTCTCCCAAGGAGCTGATGGTAGATTCAAACTATCCAGGAGAACTGGTCTTTACAAGCAACACAACTTCTGATGGGCAACACCACCAGTGGTCCCTAAGAAATGAATGGCAGACATGAAAACAGAAAGGGCAGAACAACAAACTGATGTCACTAGAAGATTTTCTATAAAAAAAAAATATATCAACAAACTTGAAAACACAGTGACAAGAATTCTCCAAAATTAAAATGAAAAAGAAAAAGTAATATAGTCAACACAAATAACAAAGCAACACAAAGGTCAATGAACTGAGGAACAACTTCAACCAGCTGCATATGTGGCCTGGAATCCCTGGAAAAAGGGAAGCAGACAAAAAAATATTTAAAGAATAATGATCAAATTTTCTAAATTTGGTGATAATTAGAATTCCACAGATCCAAGAAGTTTAAAAGAATCTCAAGCAGAGAATATATGAAAAACCTACACCACAACACATCATAATCAAATTATTCAGAGCGATTAATCAGGAGAAAATCTTAACATCATCTAGGAAGTAATGTGGGAAATAGGAAAAAGATAATTAAAGGAGCCAATGGTGGTACAGTGGTTAGAGCGCAAGGTCATTAACTAAAAAGTCAGCAGTTCAAACACAAGCAGCTACTCCGCAAGAGAAAAGAGGTGCAGTCTGTGTCCATGAAGACTACAACCTTGAAAGCTGATGGGCAGTCCCATTGGGTCCTACAGGGCTGGCACAAGCTGGCCTGGCTTGGTGGCAGTGGGCACGCCATGCCAGCAGTCATCAGAAGTAAACCAGGCTGAGTAAATGAACAGATTTCAGAACTTTTCATAACAATAAACAAATTCACTAACAAGAAATCATAACCCCATACACTTATTCATCAAAACCAACACAGCAAGCCCAACCCACCATCACAGGGAAGAACAGGATTCACAGAAATGTCACAGGACAGAGCAGAACCTCTGTGGTAGGGCTGTACCCTAAGGAAAGCAAACTTACTGAGCTCCTAGGAGAAATCAGAAATCGGCAGACCCACAACCCCGAGCCAACAACAATAAAATATACTCCTTACAAGTACACATGGAGCATTTTCCAGAACAGACTATATCCCAGGTTATAAAACAAGTTTCAGTAAATTTCAAAAGATGGAAGCCATCTAAAATAATGTTTCTCATGTGACAACAAGGAAATTAAATTAGAACTTACTAACAGAAGAGTGTCTGGAACATTTCAAGTATTTAGAAACAACAAAGTTCTAAATAAACCATGGGTCAAGGAAGAAATTAAAGGGAATTATAAAAGTATTTTTTAAATGAAATTTAAAATACAACATACCAAAATGTATGGGATACTAGAAAAAAAAAGGCACTTACACAGGAATATTTATAGCAATGAATGCCTGCACCTGAAGTCTCAAAGACTCAACTTATACCTGAAGAAAATAGAGAAAAGTAAATTCAGCCCAAATAAAGCAAACTGAGGGAAATAATTAAGATCAAAGTACAAATCAATAAGGAAGAAAACAGGAAAATCAAGAAAAATAAACTAGAAGCCAATTTCTTTGACAAGATCAGTAAAATCTTTATAGACTTCTGCATACCAATGATTAGGAAAAAGAGAGAACACCAAATTATCAATATCAGAGAGAAAGGTGATGTCAATGCTGATTCTACAGATACTAAAATAATAGTGAAAAAACACTCTTATTTATGTGAATAAACTTAATCGCTTGATGGACAAATGTCTTCAAAAGACACACACTGCTAAAGATCAGTTAAGAAAAACAAACTAATCTGTACAAGTCATTTACACTGTCATTTAAAGCTTTCTTAAAAAGAAAACTATAGATCAAATCACTCTACTGGAAAATCCTACCAAACATCTAAATAGCATTCTACAGAATTCTACATGCAAGCTCTTTATGAGTATTGGGGAGGTGAAAGGGACACTTGACAACTCATCACTAGCCTTACTCTCATCTAAAAAAAATAAATAAATAAAATAAAAAAGGCAAAAATAGATTAAAAGAAAAATCTAGAACAAGATCCCTCTCAAGAACATAGATGGGGGAAAAAACCCCAAATTTTAAAATCCCAAGCAATTTTAGTAAATTAAATCCAATGCTGTTATTATGTGCCATCAAGTTGCGTGCAACTCATAGCGATCCTATGTACAACAGCCCTAAACACTGCTCTATCCTGTGCCAATCTCATTGTCTCTGACACACCTATTCCCATTACCCCAGTCACTGAATCAATCCATATCATCAAGGGTCTTC